ATACAGCGCTGAGTGCATAACAGGTCAAATGACCAATAATAAATAAATAAAGACAGAGAAGCTGAGAAAATAACTCAACACATCTTAACACAGAGACAAAATAATCACAAATGAAGCGCACATTAATGAGTTCTGAATATGAGAATCCCGCTTTAAAAACAACAGGAAGGGCAGTGAAAAGGAAATAATCATAAAGTTTAAATGCAAAGGTCCTAAATCACTGGTTGAAAATCATTTTCTACAGAACGGTGCAAAATTCTTGAATCATCACTTATTTTGTTATATTTGCTTCAAAGGAGTCGGGCTCTCTTGTAAGTTTTTAAGTGGTCTTCATCGAAGGTTATTGAGACTTTTTGAAGCTCTTTTTAAAAGGACTTTATTCAGAGGAACGCTTTTAAGCCACCTAACCAAAGTCAAAGGATAAGCCACGGTTGTGTCGACACAAAACTTAGCAAAAAAACTCACTTTCAACTGGATCATTAAGTACTTTGTTACAAGTAGCTGGTAACAAAGATAAAATGTTTTCCCATGTCTTTAAATGAATCTAAAACATAAGAGTTTCTATTAACAACAAGGTGATTCCCAAAAAGCTTTATCAAACTTCGTATAAAGTAGATGATCAGCTAAAAAAAATCTACACTTGTTCATGTTTTACACATAATTATAAGTTATAAAACAGAAAAAGCTCAACTAAAATCTGTAGAAGACTTTCAGAAAGTCTGAAAGCATATTGAGCAAGGCCACTTTAAAAGTTTACAAGCAAGTAGGGTTCCTTGGAAGCAAAGTGGGGGGAAAAATATAGAAATAATTTAAAACTTTTGCACAATATATTGTGCAAAATGTTTGAATTTTCTGGCTTTGAATCAAAAACTAGAGAATCGTATTTCAGATCCAGCGAGAAACTGATCAGATTTCTTTGTTGTTTACTTTCTGTAGTGCACAAGTTTCAAGAATTTAAAGGAAGCTAAAACAATTATAGCTCCCCAGACTAAAAGTACAAATTAAAGTGTACAATTTGTCTTTAAGTTGCCTTAAGCATCCTAATGGCCCCAGTGATTATTTTCTTCAATGCACTCCTCAATTGCTTTAAAAAGAGATTGTTTAGTGTCACCTAATTTGCAGTTTGCACATTTAAAACTGTAGCAGACGTTAGCGACCTTCAGGTGAAAAGCTTAGAAGCTCACGGCTTGCTTACCTTCTGCATGAAGACACATTTTAGTGTAACCTGTCATAGCGTTTGTCTGTTTGGTCAGTCGGTAAGTGTTTCAGTCGCCAAGTGCAGCTAATACTTCTTCTGATTTCTATCCAGGTCTCCGGAGAACAAATGTCAAGAGCTCTGGACTACACTAGGCACTGAAATCACAGTTATATCATCCAGAGAACAGTATTTCAGATCAATCGCACGCTCGTGAAAAGATATTTTGTTAAATCAACGTTGCATTTAACGGATTTGTAAGTATGTTGTTGACTTTGTATGAAAATACAGCATATTGGGTTGTTTTCAGCGTGCTGCGATTCAAGAGATACTATCCTTTGACACAGATGACTCCACTAACCCCAGTAACCTTAGGCCTTAGGAAAATGTACAGCCCTGAACTCTGAAACAATTAATGATGCCAATTACCTTCAATTTAAATGTAAATGTAATTTAAATTGTATGTGCATGCTTCTATTCATGTTGCAATAAAGGTATAGTCCAGACTTTTTGAAGCTGGGTTTTCTTATGAACAATGATATCTTACAGGCTGTAAATAGCAATTTGAACAACTTGAGTTTGGAGAAATAGAGTTCATTTCAAACTGAACTGCTGAGCTAATGGCTAGTCCAAGAACAATCAAGACTAAATTGGATTTTTGTCACCTTAAACCAATGTCCTGTCAGGAAAACTTCACAACGGTTCTAATAAACACCCATCCATCCATTATCTTTATTCCTCTTCATCCTTTTTGGGTTGTGGGGTTCACTGGTGCCCATATCCAGCAGTCACTGTGCGAGGGGCAGGGTACACCCTGGACAGGTCTCAAGTCCGTCACAGGGACACATAGAGACAAACAACCATTCACTCTCTCACTCACACCTAGAGACAATTTAGAGTCACCAATCAGACTAACATGCATGTTTATGGTCTGTGTGAGGAAACCAGAGTACCCGGAGAAAACCCACGCATGCACGGAGAGAACATGCAAACTCCACCCAGAAAGGCCCCTAGCTGGGATTCGATCCAGCAACCTTCTTGCTGAGAGGCAGCAGCTCTACCAACTGATCCAACATGCCGCCCTCTTAAAAACATTATTTTTATATAAATTTACATCATGCCTCTCAGCAAGAAAGTTGCCGGTTCAAATCTCGGTCCGGGGTCCTTTCTGAGTGGAGTTTGCATGTTCTCTCTGTGCATGCGTGAGCTTCCTCCGGGTACTCGTTTCCTCCCACAGACCAAAAACATGCATGTTAGGTTGATTGGTAACTCTAAATTGTCCCTAGGTGTGAGTGAGAGAGTGAATGGTTGTGTGTCTTGTTTGTGTCTATGTGTCTCTGTGATGGACTTGCGACCCGTCCAGGGTGTACCCCGCTGCTCGCACAGTGATTGCTGGACATGGGCACCGGCGACCCCCGTGACCCAAAATTGAAGAAGCGGGTAAAAGATAATGGATGGATGGATAGAAATGTACATCAATATCAATTTTGCATTACACATTTATAACAGAAGTAATAACATAATACACCTACCAGAAGTGAACCAGCCTGCAGCACAAGTGATACAGCTAGCTGCTGCTGCTGCTAATTACACTTTCAAACGACAACAGAATTTAAAGTTAAAACAAATTGTGTAGTGCTAAACTGATGGAAATGTAATGTATTTTCAAGAACCACAGTGAAATGTTTGAAATTGGAGTAGTTTAAGATGGCACTGAACTTAGCCCAGCTTGGAGTTTAACTGTGACAGACTGAAGAGCTAACGACTGGTCTATTTCTCCAAAGAGCTAGATATGTACAACAGGTAAGATATCATTTGTTCAAATCTTTGTCACAGAACCCCACTTCACCAGACTGGAACTATTGCTTTAAGATAAGTATAAATACAACTATAAACACTGTTCAATACCTGCATGTACTTTGCAGCTTTTTGGGGGGGAGGGCAAATCAGATTTCTGTGTGTTAGTTTACCAAGGTGCAGGTTGGTGGGGTTAGGTATAACATGAATCAACACAGTAGAAAGGGAAAAAAAACAAAAGTAAGCCACACACGACAACACCAACACAACACTCAGATGGCACTGAGAGGACAGAAACACAATGTATACACATGTAAGAATGAAAAAGCCCACATACACACGCGTGATATGACACAACCTGAAGAGAGAGACAACAACAACACAGAAGCACATCAGACAACAATGTGACCCGCTGTGCCCACTCATTTTTCTTCACTTTCACATTAAAGTTAGTTACTAAGACAGGACACAACAGTCAGGTTATTTTCACTTGAGCTGCTGGATGTTTTTGTGTATATCCACATGGATGTTATTTTGCGCTCATAGCTGTATGCAGGGTTAAAGCACTTGCACATCATCGCACACATTTGTGCACTTTACTTGCATTGTAGAGCAATCCCATATTCTTTCCAAAAAAATTTTTCTTACATCTTGTACATTGTTTATTGATTTCACAAAAAATGGTAACGCATTCTAAAAAGCAGAATACTGGGCTGAGGTCAGGTTGCTTTGACTCCCACATGAAACGATGAGCCCCACAGGTCATTTCTGCCACACGAGTAGAACCCAACCTTAGCTCAACTGTTTGCAACTGGCTTTCAGTTTCCTCACAGGTGAGAACTTCAGAAAACATTTAGAAACAACCCATGAAAATATTCCTGTATCTGCAATTTAGGTTTGTACATACAATGTGCAAATATGTGTGAAAAGAGGGTGCCATACTGTTGCAGCATTGTTTGTGCATTTGCAAAACATCTAATGGGTGTTTCTAGTCAAAAACTGACTACACTATGGGCTCTTTAGTTGTAATTTGTGTTACCTCTGTGCTATGGTTTGATCCAGGAGGAGGTGGAGTTTGCATTGAGGTCCTGCTGTAACAGTGACCCCTCCATCTTAAACCAATCCTCAGTCAGAGGGGAGTCTGGGCTGGGTGCCAGGGCTGCTGCCTCTAAAGTAGTTTGTTGTCAACAAGGGGGTGTTGGAAGTTCGGAGGGAGTGTGGGGGAGTGTTTTGGTGCAGGCCGGTGGCAGTGGTGGTGGTCGGATTGCAATAGTAAATGAGCGTGAGGATAATGAACAAAAGAACAAGAGGAGAAATGATGGAGCATAAATTAAAAAAATGGGGGTGTGGGAGGCAGGAGAGGAGAATTTTGATAGGATTTTAGTGGAGAAAAGTCATCAAAGGGGTGGACGGAAGTAGGAGAAATAAAAAAGGTTGGTGCACAAGGCAAGAGGGAGAGAGAAACAGACAAGGAGAAACAGAAGTGACGAGAAGTAAATTAATGCATGGTCAAACTGTCTGAGTCCAGAAGACAGAGAAAGACAGATCATTTCTGAGCACGAATGAATGTGACAACATGGGACGGAGAGCAAAATTCACAGACGCCAGAAAAAGATGGAGGACGTGACCGAGGCTATGTGAAGAAAAAGAAACGCCAAATATGACAAAAACAAAAGGAAAACAGGAAAATCTTATGTGACAAACGAAATCAAATACCAAGTGATGATGAAAACACAGACATGACTATGAAAAGATAGAAGCAAAGAGCAGCGTAAAAGAGCCATATGTATATGTACGTGGCTGTACGACTGCATATGTGTACTACATGTTATGTTGTTCTTGTTGAGGTTCTGAATCTGACCTTTAAAACATATGGTAATTTACAGTAATTGGCTGCACACTGGACTTGTATTGTTGTTTACAGCATGTTGTGCTTGGCATCTTGCTGTGTGGATGTGTTTATATAAGACGTGAATTTTACATATCCGTCTCCTGGTGTGAAACATACCTTTCCGCACATTCCCATCTGTGGCACGGAATTCCCTGGTGTTGAGTAGGAAGCAGGCACGGTCCTGCTGGTAGCGTTCTCGAGTGGGGCCTCGCCCAATAGGGCTCCTCTCGTCTGGGCTTAGCACCTGGTCGATGGTGGGGCAGTCCTCGTTAGCCAAGGCGGCCGAGGCTGCGTCGCCGTTCTGCTTGGAATCTGGATGAAGCATAGCACAAGTAATAATCACACAGAGAAGAGTCAGTCTTTTATAAAAAATAAAAATCATAACCTAAACTACGCTAGTTTACTGCTGGAGATGGGCACCAGCTCCCCCACAAAGGAAAAAGCAGGTTAAAAAAAAAGATGGATGGAAATTGTTCTAGTTTATGTAAGTGGTTTCATTAACAGATTGGGATAACACTGCAAATTTCCGCCTGGCACTTACTGGGTACGTACTATACCTTGTAATTACAGGGAAACATGAAACTCTACAGCTAGGTCCATGTAAGTACACGCTATTACCAGGTAAATAATCAGGTATATACAGATACTTACAGGTATGTATCTTGTAATTACTGGGAAACAAATATATTAATTCATATTATAGCTTGGTCCCTGTAGGTACTCTGAAAGTAGCAAGTATGTACCTGCTAAGTAGCAGGTACTTACCAGGTACTTACTCGTTATGTTTTTGTTCCCAGTAAGTAGCCTCTATGTGCCTGGTGCATACCAGATAAATACTTATTTTGTACTTAGTAATTACCAGGCATTAACATTACTGAATAACAACTAACTTCATAACCCAGCCCAGTCTTCAAGGGTACCCTGTAAGTACCTGGCATGTACTGGGCACATACACTGTAAGAATAGGGTAACGAGTAACTTCAGAATATCATCTAATCCCATTACTGACCTGTATGTAGTAATTACATACCTATATACACAGGAGGATACTTACATTTGCCCAGTAAGTACCTTGACATACCCAGTAAATACCTGTGACATACCTGGTATGCATAAAGTTCATGCCAGGTAAGTAATCAGCCATGTATCAAAGTGACCAGGTACATACCAGGTACATATCAGGTACTTACCGAGCACCTGTTATGTACCTGGTTGGTACTTGGTATGTACCTGGTACTTACCATAACCTACTAGGTACCCTGTATGTACCTGGTACATGCCAAGGTACATCCCAGGTAAGTACCAATATGTTTTGTGTATTACTACTAAAATTTACTAATTCAGATTTACTTGCATACATTTGTTTAAGGAACAGGTTTTATGTTGTGTTGCGTGTAGTAGTTATGAGTAGTTTGTGTACTGCACACAATAGATGGCAAAGAGAGTGACTTTAGTTTGGAGCATCAAGGAGAAATTCTAGTAAGGGAGTCAAGCTAACAGCTACTTAAAGCTGGACCCATTCAGGAATGCATTTCCACCATCTACATCTTAAACTCAAATATTTTAGCAGTTTGAGCAAACTGAATATTAAGAATATTTGCACCTTGTTAATTTTCACTGAAACAGTTGTTTAAATTGTCCAAGTTTTTACAACAATAGAATATTTGTGTTGCTGTGTGTACAGCGGGTGCTAGGAGTGTCCTTTCACTTGTCAACCATGACTCTCAGTTCTGCTGGTCTAATAACCAAACTACACAAAGTAACCTTGAATGATTACAAATACATCTTTTAAATACATTTTAAGAAGATATTTGTATAAATGCGATCATACAGAGGAATAACTTTCATAGAGACAACAATCCCTGGAGGATTCAGCTGATCACATAAAATATATTCAGTAACCACGGTGGATGCTGTTATCATGTTAGCATAGCAACATGAATGTTCATTAGAGAAAATATGGACAATCTAAACCGTCGTCCCTTTCACAAAGCAGAAGTTGTAAAAATAGCCTCACAAGTGTTTGCTTGAAAAGCAAGATTTTCTGATTGTTTGTTTTAGATTATGAAAATTTGCTGTAAATCAAATACTGCCTACTGATAAAATCATACAATTTTACATAAAAACATATTTAATATTCGCAATACTCAACAAGAAATTATATTTTTTATTATAGTTGTAATTTTTTGATTAAGTTTGCTAATTAGTATTGAAATAACTTGTCAGACAATGGAATACTGTAAAGGTACAATTTTTGTTAAACCTTCCTTAGTATATTTTTCAGTGTTTTGCTATTATTTTTATTGTTGCGTATTAATTTTTTTCTGAAAAGTCTTGGTGTTTTTTGACGTTGTATTTTGTTGCCCAGAACCAATTTCTTAAAGTACAGGTATACAAAAGTAAAAGTGCAAAACAGCAATAAAAAGGAGATTTATGTGTATTTATATACACAATCATTAGTACATTCTCAAGTGAATAGACCACCTGATGTACTGTACAATATGTAGAGTGACAACTGATGTTGTTGTTTTTTTTTTTTGTCTCTCCAATGTCCACTCAGGCATTACAGTAAAATATGTTTCACAGACCATCAGATTTTTTTTTTATGATGTTGAATGGTGGGAAGTTTTAGATGAAGGAAAATTTCAGAAAATATAACTGTCTGTGCATATGGTAAAACTACCCTACCGACATTTAGTAACTTGCTAAAACATGAAGAAAGCCAGGCAGACAGGATGTAATAAAAGTGCTGAATAAACAAATATTTTGTGGCTTACTCATGACTGGGCCACTTAAGTAATGCTTTAAAGGTGCATTATTGTATTGTAGCATGTTGAAGCAGTTTTACTGTCAATGGCAGAGAGAAAATCTGAGAAGCCAGCCAAAAATGATATCCATTAAGCTGTTTTAATAGATAAATGAGTTCATCTTCCTTCTAAGTGTTTATTATTTTCATTGACAGGTGGGTGCCTTAATGCATATGTGAATCTCCTAAACGATCATAAATTACACAAGCGTTCTGATGGGCCAGTGGTTACTCCAGTGTAGTCAAGGAATCAACCATGCACAATTTATTTGTATTACCCTAGCTCCTTTCTCCTAACACTTTGACAATATACCAAATCCATAAAATTCATATGGAACCTAAAAGTTTTGGCACTATATGTTCTCTAAAAAGAAACAAAACTCACCTCTGTTTATTTCTATAATCTCTTCTTGGGCAAGAGGACAGTCACCCCCTATACCTCCAGACACCATTACACCACCTAAGACATTTCCCAAGATCCTTTGAGGTGAGGCAGTAGCCATTGCCAAAGCATCTGGCTTGCAGTAGTTTGGAGACCCTGGTTGCGGTGCTCGAGGGATATGTTTATTCTTCTTTTTGGGCAGCTTCTGTTTGGCCATAGCCAGAGAATAGTACATGCCGAAGTTGTTGACAATGACAGGTACAGGCATAGCGATGGTTAGCACACCAGCCAAGGCACACAGCGCACCCACCAACATCCCTGACCACGTCTCTGGGTACATATCACCATAACCCAATGTGGTCATCGTCACAACAGCCCACCAAAATCCAATGGGGATGTTCTTGAAGTTAGTGTGGGCACTTGCTGTTGGGTCATCTGGATCAGCGCCAATTCTCTCAGCATAGTAGATCATAGTGGCAAAGATGAGGACACCGAGAGCCAAGAAGATGATGAGCAGGAGGAATTCGTTGGTGCTGGCGCGAAGGGTGTGACCAAGGACACGGAGACCCACAAAATGACGTGTCAGTTTGAAGATTCGGAGGATACGGACAAATCGGACAACACGAAGAAACCCCAGAACATCCTTGGCAGCTTTGGAGGACAGACCACTCAGGCCAACCTCCAGATAGAAGGGCAGGATGGCGACAAAGTCGATGATGTTGAGGGCACTTTTGAAGAATTCCAACTTGTCTGGACAGAAGATGACTCGCAGCAAGACCTCAATGGTGAACCAAATGACGCATACACCCTCCACATACGTCAACCAGCTGTCGGTCACCACCTCGTATACTATCTCCTCGCGGGTTCCATTGGGTGTTGTGACGTTTTCTGTTTTGTTTGTGATTGTGTTGAAGGCCTCGTGCGTCTCCATGCAGAAAGTAGATATAGAGACGAGGATGAAGAAGAGGGAAATAAAAGCCACATACTGGAAGGAAGGAAAGCAAAGAAGGAAAAGGAAAGACAAACAGGGAAAGAGCAGAGAAAAGAGAATGGGAGAAGAGTTAGTTCCAAAACAATAAAATTTTGTAAGAACAAAAATTACAAAACACCAGGAAACAAGTATTTAAACCTTAATCTTACACTTTCCAATATATAAACTACAGTATATTATTTAAGACCTTAAAGGAACTTTAACCAACAGCTACATTTCCATTTTATTGAACTGCTATGTTCCATACAGTCCTTCAGAATATCTCTCACACATGAAACTTTTTAAAGATAAGTACAATAGCATGTCTTTTTTTCCAAATAAAAATCTAATTTAATGATTCTAAAGAACTAAAAACTCCATTTAAGACTTTATTTCAAAGATTCAAGTTTAGTTAATGGTTTTCTTTATTACACTTGGTTGCATGCACTGCATGTATTGTCATAACCGCTGTATCCAGTAAACGTCAGTGTGGTTTCGTTGGGTTTCACACTTTCTAAAATTGTAACTTGGCACATTATATGGATCATCACCCATCATTGTGAAAAACAATTGATCCAGAAAACGCAAGCATTTTTGCAAAAACATCATATCCCCATATTTGCATGTTCAGATCAAACTTGTTTTTTTAGCCAAGTCCTATAATTGTCCCTCGAGTAAAACTGTTCTTTCAGGGAGACAATTTTTCAACTTACTTTTTTTCTCATGATTCAAAGGCAAGTTTTCCTAATTCTGCTGTGT